CTATGTTAGTTGTGGGGTTGTACCTTCTGCAGCATTACTCGTACAGGTACTCACTGGTGATTGTACTCAGGTTATCAGATTAAGCATTTTGCTCAATGTGTGCAGTGTTTTTGGACTGAGGAGATGTCGAGCAGATTATGAATGTGTGTGTGCTTGATTAATTTTCTCTTTTCGAGGTTATGAATATTGGGTATGCCTCAATGTTTATGCTGTAAATTGTCTTGTGTCTGCAAATGTTGAGCAATAATATTTGCCTAAGGACATGTTTTCTTGCGAATCAGCCATTTGGTTCATGCTATTGTATGTAGTAGTTTGAGATATAAAACGTGAGGTTAGTTTTAAACATATCAAGGAGAGAATTAAACTAGAGGGATTTCCTTCACTTTTATAGTTAACAAAAATCCCGTTTACTTTTGCAGAAAATGTGGTTGTGGAGGAATCCGAAAATTTTGATGATGAGGATATGGAATTAGCATTTGAAAAGTGGAAGTCTAAATCATATGCATTGACAGTCCCTCTGAGAGTAGTTGCTCTCGAAGGTTCATTTCCTCCTGTGTGGCTACGGGTTTGTACTTCATCTTCCATTTACATGTTTTAATATATAAAATTTCAATAACGTTAACTCGTATGTTTCAAAATTAATCACTTAATTCTTTTATAGTATGAGAAAAATACCGCTGATTATCAATTTTGAGCTACAGCATCACTCAGCATAAGCTACATTGTGTGTAGCTAACTATTTTCATCTTTACCACATTTTTTCCCCATTTGTTGCATTCATTTACCGTTGTGCTAAATGGTGATCTTCATAATATTTTGCCAATGTATTTGTGGATATTTGATATGATGCTTTAGCACTTGCAGGATTTCTTGCGGTCCCAAGGTAAAAGGGTCCGTTTCCGTCCAGAGTACCGTAGAAGCCTGGGAGATATATTTTATGAAATTGCTGATCCATATAAAAAAGGGAAAATCAATCCTAAATCTGCCATGGCAGCTGATCTCGTTACTCTTGGTGATTCCTGGCTGAATTTTGCCATTAGCCAGGAGTTAATTGAGCCCATCCAAGGAGCAGAAGACCAAGATTGGTTTCAAGAATTGAGTGATAAATGGAAGGTAAGATTTTTCTAAATTAGTGACAAGTAAAATTAGTAGTCAAGAGGAAAGACCAAAGGAATTTATAACCATTACTTTGAAAGTAATTTATTGGACACACGGCTCATGATCATTAGTCACTTAACTTTAAAAGCTTCGATTCTTTCTTATGCTAATTACTAAATACCTTGTTACTTTTTCTCTTTTTATACTTCTGGTGCTCGTTTGACATATGTACGGAGAGATGAGAAATTGAGTAGTGTTATGTATCTGAAATATTCTCATAATTCTCAGGAATATTTACGCAGGAGCAGTGACGGAAATTTGGATTCTGGGGGCAGAATATATGCCGTGCCATATCGTTGGGGAAGCATGGTGATAGCTTACAATAAAAAAGAATTTCAAAAGCATAAATTGGCACCAGTAGAGGTAATTATTTCTATTCTTGAATTTTTCTATGGTCCTGATCTTGCTTTGTGGGAAACTCGTACAAGCTGCAAATGCAGGCTCACTACTTCTGAGGAAATGACAAAACTATATTAGAGATTTGATTCTGCTTACATTTTACTCCAACCTTATGTTGGCCTTATGGGAAGTCCTACTGTGATCATGTATTTCACAGTTGCAGTTTCGACCTTTCGAAATTACGAATAGCCTCAACTTCTAATGTTTATTTGGGATGCTTGAGCAGATCAAGGGATGTAAACCTAAAATACAAGATTATGTATTGTATATATATATATATAAGTTCCGCAATTTCCGTTAGCTCCATATATGAATCTACATGCAGGACTGGTCTGATTTATGGCGCCCTGAACTTGCTCGAAAGATTTCGATGGTTAATTCACCCAGGGAAATTGTTGGAACAGTTTTGAAGTACATGGGGGCATCATATAATACCACTAATATTGAGTCCCAAGTACTTGGCGGGAAACAAGCAGTACTGCAACAGCTGCAAAAGCTTGTTCAACAGGTAAGAAAGATAAATTGAATTCCTATTGCTTGGTAGACGTGTAAGACACAAGTGTTTCAAGAATATTTTCTACATGTGAGACATATAATGCAGAAATTGTAACATTTAGAGTAAGCATTAATCTTATCAACTTGTAAATAGTCATTTTTGGTGTCAAATTTGTGTTTTTCAGCTGTTCATCTAGATTGTGTTGATTTTATATAAAAATCTTAGCCAACCGGAAAAAAACATAAGCTGGGTCATAACTGAACATAGTTCCATTTCTTTGACACAGTTTTGGGGTATAACTTAACATAATCTCGTATTATCCGAAACCCATTTTCCACCAGTTGGTAATGTAGAATCACGAATTTTTTGACTTCTGGTTTAAATGGCTTTAGTTTTATGCAGGTCCGATTTTTTGATACTAAGGACTATTTGAAAGCCTTTAGAGCAGGACAAGTATGGGTAGCCGTCGGTTGGAGCAGTGATGTTCTTCCCTTTGCCAAAACACTGTCAAATGTTTCGGTAATAGTTCCTAAATCCGGTGCTAGCTTGTGGGCTGATTTCTGGGTACGTCAATTCCTTTCATTGCATATATTTATTTACACTCTGATTATTTGATATTATGTTGAAGTTGGGTTTTATAACATATGAACCTTTTGTGTATTCATTAGGATCTTCATATGAAATCCACTATGATTATCATTATAAGTTGAGATAATTTTATTTTGTATGTAGTGAAAATAAATAAAAAATAAGGTATTTAATCTTAATTTCTAGGACTCGCCTAGGCGCTAGGTGCTGGTCGAACGCGTAGCGACTTCTAGAATACTGACTTTAATCATTACATTTTAAATATTATTTGAATACAAACTCAAAATCTCATTCAATTAACTTTATTATTATTTGAATACAAACTCAAACTCTCATTCAATCAACTTTACTTAAAATTAACTCACTTTAACTCAAGGTACAATCAGTCTATTAGAATCGATTTTTAGTGGTTTTTACTCAATACCAATCGTGCCCTAAAATTTGGTGTTTGTTGTGTACTACTCTCTCATAAAAAAAGTTCTATTGAGAGGTTTTGCCCAACATTAAAACATTTTGATTCATCAAAATTCAAACTCACAGATACCAATTCGCATATAATTCCCATTTTTTAGCTTTTGTTTCGTACTTGCAGACAATCCCGGCTACCTCAAGACTCGTCGGCGAACAATTAGGAGGGAGAGTAAGGGGACCGTCACCACTCGTCGGGCAGTGGATTCAGTTCTGTTTGCAACCACAAAGAGCTTTGCCTTTCAAAGAAGAGATTGCATCAGGTGCATCTCCAATTTCACTCGAGGCCCCAATTGAAGAGCCACTTAGCCGTGTTGAAGGCAGACCTAAGTTGGATACGAATCTCATCGCTAATGTTCCACCAGCTGACATTTTGTCCCGATGTGAATTCTTGGAGCCATTGTCTGAAAATGTGTTGTCCGATTATGAATGGCTAATGGGTCATTTGCAGAAACCTGACGATGGTATTGTGAACAAGGTTAGGGTCTCTTTGTATTCTGCGTTTGCTGCATTTTTGTCGAAAATGCAGTTTAAAGGGACATAAATTGCTCTTTGTAGGACTTGGGAAGTGAATACAAACAATTGAAGCAGAATTGTAACATGATGTGGTTGATGAAAATTTTTTGAACAAAAAAACAAATCACACGTTTGAATCTTTTCGAAAGAGGATAGTTACTCAGCCTGAAAATATAGGTACGCTACTCTACGTTAACAAATTTAACAATTAATTATAATCTTTTAATGCATAATGTGATCATGATGAAGTGGACATAATTATTAATGTGTAAATGTAGGGAAGACTGTGATTCAACTACATTCTCTTTCACATTCTAGCCAATGAATGGAGAGATGAGAGAAATATTATTGTCATTTTCAAAAAATTAGTTATTTAATTTATTTTCTTTCTTATTTATAATTTTTTAGTTTGGTCAAGCGGACCATATTGTATTTGATTACATTGTGCATTGGAGATAATCTTTTAGATTTAAGTTGTGAACTTAACAATTATCAGTTCACAATCCATGTCTAGTTAATTGACATTTGTCAAAATTTATACATAACATTTATGCACTGCTCTAACATGAGGACTGGAACTCACTCTGAATACAAGGAAATAATCAATCATCTCTCAGGACACGAAAGTGCCAAAATTATTACACAAGAATGGAACCAAATACAAGGATCCTCCAGTATGTAGTAACAGTAAATACATCTAAAATCCTTTTAGCATACAAATAACTCAGGATAAATTACACGAGAACAATCAAGGTCTGAACGAAAAAACTAACCGCCACTTCTGGCCGTGATCGAAAAATAATAATAATAATAATAATTTACATGCTGACAAAGAAATAATACTGACGTAGCCTAGCTCAATCACAAGCAAAAACCCACTGGTGAATGTACCTGCTGCTTGTTACTTTTTTCCGCAAAAGAAACAATAACGAATAAATTTATACGTGAATATAGCTAAAACAAATTCCGAGTTCCCTTCTGTGTACCTGTTGCTCTGTCACTTTTCCTTGCTTAGTTTTTTGGATATAAATGAGAACCCTTAGTCTGAGCTGGAGTCGTAAAAGTCACTTGGGCACGGGGTCATGACCTCAGATTCTAGAATTTGAATGACCCGGTGCATTGTGGGTCGGTCCTCGGGGCTTGAAGAAACACATTGGATTGCAATTGAGAGCAGTGCATCAAGGCTTTCTGTATGCACTCTTTCACAGTGTGGATCGACTATTTCTCTTTGTCTATTTTCGGAAACTAAATAATTCAACTGCAAAAGAGAATGAAAGAATGTAATACAGGAATCAGCCAAGGAAGTGATATTTATGCAAAGTGGGATTACGCATTCTGGTGATTACTGTAAATGATGAAGTCAGCTATATGAAATGTGAATGCTCCTCTAATTTTCTTTCACGAGAATTTGCTAGCTGGGATTTTGGATAAATTAGCATAAGGTTATATTTAAAAAAAAAAAAAAAAANTTAAAAAAAAAAAAAAAAGGAAATTGCTGCTAATGATGCCTTGGGGGATAAAAAGCATTTCCTCAGGTGTCGAAAAACAAGGACCGTATGGGGCACATTCAGGTCTTGCTGTATATATCTTTATATAAGAGATCCTTCAATAATCGAAGGCTAATGAGTAATCAACTAAAAATATTAGAGAACTAAAAAGAAAGGAAAACTATACCCATCCAACAATGTTAAGACCCTTCTCGATGAAGGATGCATCAGTTGGCCGCTTTCCGCTCACAATTTCGAGCACCAGAACACCAAAACTATAGACATCCGTCTTCTCGGTAGCTCTACCACTCTGCATATACTCTGACCAGTAAAATAACATCATATGGTCAGCATTAAAACATTCGTAAACTTCATTTTGTAGAAGATGGAAGAGATAGTCACAACATTAAACCTGAAGTTTGGCCACTTGAAAAAATAAGGGAAAGGAAAAAGAAACATCAGCCTAGGAATTGCTCTGTGGCTATTATTCGTCTTACATTGTAACTCATTCAGAAGAGCCAATGAAGATCATTGACAACATCAAATGATTTTACAGTTGCATATTACAAGTTTTCACCAAACATTCTCCTTTCACATCCCACAAGTTTTGTAAAAATGCGGAGTTGGATGTTAATTGTAATATTTTAAAAGTTGGGTGTGGTGTGAGTAAATAGAATATTCACTGATGTTATCTAGTTTAATCGGGAAAGTATCAGTCGGGACAAAAATGTAATGACATAATCAAATCACAAGGTTACAGAGTTCGCTGGGTTTTGTAAATACTGCAACCTCAATAGTAATTTTTGTAGCTCTCTGAAAAAAAAAAAAAAAAAAGCATCCATTTCTCAGTTACGGTGATTTCCACACATTATACCTAGAATCATGGAGTAGCTAATCTAGAAACCTTGACACCACACAACAGCAATTTAATATCAATGCACTGAACTTAAGTAACTGGATGAATCAATAAATTATATATATCCAACTAAAGAGTTACCAACTTCACACATGCCTAGAAGAGAATGGCTTCACGAATCACTATTAGAAGAGAAACATGAATGCAAATCAACAAAAGGCAACTTCAAAAATCATCATTGTAAAAAACAGCAAAAAAGTTAAGGAACCAATAGAGAAAGTTATTTGTCCTAACCAGGAGCCAGATATCCAAAAGTCCCAGCAACAATAGTCGTGATATGGGACTCCTCATCCTTCAATAATTTAGCTAGTCCAAAATCAGACACCCTGGCATCAAAATTTCCATCAAGCAAAATGTTGCTTGACTTGATGTCTCGGTGAATTATTCGAGGGGAACAATCATGATGCAAGTAAGCAAGGCCCTTTGAAGCTCCCATGATAATATTTAACCGAGTCTCCCAGTCTAGTTGCTCACCTCTCTCTGCATCAAAAGGACAGTTCTATTGACTATCATAAAATGGGATAATTTTAACACTCAGCAGGAACAGATGAAACATGAGAACCAAAATATTGAAATAATCATTCCCAACTTCTAAGAGAATGCAAACATAGAGTTACTCTCACAACCAGCACATTCTGCAAAAGTTCTACGTATTACTACTTCTTAGGACTTAAAAAGTTCCAAGAGTTCCACAAATCAAAGGATGATATTTTTATTAAACATATGTGCTACGTGCTAATAGATAGCAATAGTCAAATAGAATTGAGTAAAGCTGCTTGAGCATGCCCTCAATTTCTCAGAGCAATCTGTTAGTCCCTGCTCGTCTTTATTTTCAGCTAGGATGCACTGTTCGTGTAAGCAAAAATGCTTCCCGACACAAACGGACACTTTTAGGATAGAAGAAGATATTGAACAACTCAAAGTATTGATTATTCAGTTTTTGCTGTGTTTACAAATACAAAACTACATCCCTATTTATAAGAACTAAAAACAACTACCTAGTGACTTTCCTAGAAATTACTTAAGCTGAAAAATCAGCCCATAATGGCTGCTATGAAGGTGCTTTGCAGCTGCAAGGAATTTGCATTGCTATTGCAATGAAGCTGCAAGGAAACAGCAGATTATATATTTCTTACAATTCTTCCCCTAATCATGCTGCTCTTCCTTGTTTCCTATCATTCCAATCTTGGTCCTCAGCTCCATGAACCGAAGACGGCCGAGTGGCTTGGTAAGGATGTCTGCGAGCTGCCGTCCGGATTCGACAAACTCCAAAACAATATGTCCTTCATCGACACAATCCCTGATGAAGTGAAAACGGGTATCGATGTGCTTGCTCCGGTCATGGAGGACTGGATTTTTTGCAAGGGCAATGGCGGGCTGGTTGTCCACCATCAGAGCTGGTGGACGAGCTTCCTCGCCGGTCAGCTCGCCCAGCAACCTACGCAGCCAGACCGCCTGACATGCCGCTGTGGCTGCCGCCACGTACTCCGCCTCGCACGTAGACAACGCCACGATCTTCTGTTTCAACGACTGCCATGAGATTGGGGCTGATCCAAGGAAGACGAGCACACCGGAGGTGCTCTTCCGCCCATCAATGTCGCCTGCCATGTCTGCATCGCTGAAAACCGTGAGCCGCAGCCCACTTCCACCGCCGGTCTTGGGAAAGATGATGCCCTGGTCCACCGTCCCCTTGACATAGCGCAACAGCCGCTTTACCGCAGCCCAATGATCCTCTCGGGGGTCCTCCATGAAACGACTGACATAGCCCACGGCGAATGCAATATCTGGCCTCGTGTGGACTAGATAGCGTAGCCCGCCGACGATACTCCGGTAGAGTGTTGCATCCACCTTTTCCGCGGTGCTGGCTTTCGTCAGTTTCAGCCGCTCCTCCATTGGAGTCGCGCATGACTTGCAGTCAGCCATGCCGCTCCGCTCCAACAGCTTCCCCGCATACGCACGCTGGCAGAGAGTGATGGAGTCTCTCCCCTGCTTCACCTCGATGCCGAGGTAGTAGGAGAGCTGCCCGAGATCGCTCATGCGGAAACGAGCTGCCATCTCGTGCTTGAAACCGTTGATGTCCCCTTCTCGTGCCCCGGTGATGATCAAGTCATCTACATACACGCCGACGACGAGCTCCTCCTTCCCCCGTCGTCGCGTGTAGAGCGCGTGCTCAGTCTCGCAGCGCGTGAACCCAAGCGTACCCAGAGTGGCATCGAGCTTGGCGTTCCACGCTCGCGGGGCTTGTCGCAACCCATAGAGTGCCTTCCGCAGCCGTAGCACCTTGTGCTCCTTTCCCTTGACGACGAAGCCCGGGGCTTGCTTGACGAAAACAGTCTCCGCTAGCTCTCCATTTAGGAAGGCCGATTTCACGTCCAGGTGATGAATGCGCCAGTCCTTTGCTGCCGCCATGGCTAGCAGTAGGCGAACTGACTCCATGCGCGCCACTGGTGCAAAAACTTCCTCAAAGTCGATGCCCTCTCGCTGGACGAAACCGCGAGCAACGAGGCGCGCCTTGTGCTTGACTATGGCGCCACACTCGTCCCGCTTGACTTTGTAGACCCATTTGAGCCCGATTGGATGACAGCCTGGAGGTGGATCGACGAGCTCCCACGTCTCATTTTCCTCGATCGCCTTCATCTCCTCTAGCATAGCTCGTCTCCAATTGACATCTCCCTCGGCCTGCGCGAAAGTCGATGGCTCCTCTGCGCTGACGAGGAGCAGCTCCTGATCATCGAGTAATCGGCTCGCTAAGCCTGGTACCGCCGAGTTGCCAACAAGGTTGTCCATCCTGCGAAACCTCACCCCCTCGCCGTCGTGGAAGGCATCCACATACTCGTCGATGTCGCTTGGAGGAGAGGCGAACTCAACTGTCGTCGGAGATGTCCCCTGTCCTGCCGCAGTAGGGGAATGTGGTGAGGGTGTGTGTGCAGCCACTGGTGGAGATTCTTCGCCCGTGCCCGTCATGGCAGGACTTTGCGGCTCATCCGACGCCGCCACAGCTGTTGGACTTGGCGCGTCCGCAGCTGGCTCCTCTACTCCCACATCTCCTCCTCCGTGGATCACCAAATGCTCGATGACGAACGTACCGCCAACGCCACGGGCTTCCCCCGTGCCAGGATTCTCCCAATCCCAGGCCGCCATTTCGTCGAACACCACATCCCGCGAAACCACCACCTTGCCTCCACGTGGATCGTAGAGCCGATAGGCCTTGCTCCCCTCCTCGTAGCCTAGGAACACCATCGGTGTGCTCCTATCCTCAAGCTTGGACATGAAGGGCTTCGTCTTCTTCACATGGCCAATGCACCCAAACGTCCTTAGAAACGAGACGTCGGGCTGCCTACCATGCCAAGCTTCGAATGGCGTCATGCCCTTCAGGGCCTTTGTGGGCGCACGGTTGAGGATGAACACTGCCGTGCTCACAGCCTCTCCCCAGAACTCCGCTGGCATGCCCTTTGCCTTCATCATGCTTCGGGCCATGCCCACCACGGTCTGATTCCGCCGCTCCACTACACCGTTTTGCTGCGGTGAGTACGGCGCAGTGTGATGGCGCACCACCCCCTGGTTTGCACAGTACGCAGCGAATTCCACCGATGTGAACTCGCCACCGCGATCCGTCCTCAGCACGCGCAGCCGTTTCCCAGACTCTACCTCGGCTCGCGCCTGGAACCGCTTGATTGCCTCTGCTGCCTGATCCTTACTCGTCAGGAGCTGCAGCCACATGAAACGGCTACAGTCATCCACGAGCAGCAGGAAGTAGCGCCGTCCGCCATGCGTAGCCGGTGTGATCGGCCCGCAGAGGTCGCCGTGGACGAGCTCTAGGACGTCCGCCGCACGATACTTGGCCGCCTTTGGGAAGGGCAGCCGCTTCTGCTTCCCTGCCAGGCAGCTGTCGCACAGCTCGCCTGCGTGCTCGATGTGCGGGAGCCCGCGCACCATCTTCCTCAGCCGGCCGAGTGCGTCGAAGTTCAAATGGCCGAAACGAGCATGCCATAGCCATGGCTCTTCGGTGTGTCGTACTGCCAAGCACACTGGCTGCTCCACCTTCAAGTCGAGGAGGTAGAGGCGGTTCCGGGAACGCTGGACCTTGGCCAACAGCCGCTGGTCTCGGTCCCTGAGCTTTAGCACGCCGCCTTTGACAAGCACCTCACAGCCGTGCTCGTCCAACTGCCCGATGCTGACGATGCTTGAACGCAACTGCGGGATATAGTACACATCCGTCAATGCGCGGTGCTCGCCGTTCTGGCACCGGAAGATGACGTTGCCGCGACCTCGAATCTCCACCTTTGAGCCGTCTCCGAACTTCACCGTCCCCGTCACGCCGTCATCAAGCTCGGAGAAGGCCTCCTTGGAGCCGGTCATGTGGTTGCTGGCGCCGGAGTCTAGGTACCACCTCTGCTCCATGCCACCGCCCATTCGTCCAAGGTGGACTTGGGCACTTGACTCGTCGAGGTGAACGACCTGTAGTGCCTTCCCCTGCTCTGCAACCGCCGCCTTGACTTCCTCTAACTCTGGCTCAACGTCGTGCAACTTGCAGGTCGTTGCCATTAGAAGAGTTGGCTCCTCGTCGTCTACCTGCGCGAGGTGTGCCTCCCTCTTCTCCTTCTTGGGATTCTTGCAATCCCGGGCCCAGTGTCCTGTCTTCCCGCAGCGTCGACAAGTGTCCTTGTCGATCGGACGCACGTTGTCGCCGTCCTTCTTCTTCTGCGGGGCCTTGCTACGACGCTTGCCGTAGCCGCCACGGCTGGAGGAGCCTTCCCCGGGCCGCCTCTCGCGCATACGAGCTGCCCATTCTTCCTCGGTCAGCAGTAACTTGCCGCTGGTAGTTATCGTCGCCGTCTCCACACGGTCATCGACCGCCCGCAAGCGCCCAGTCACATCCTCAATCGTGAGGGTGGACATGTCGATCAACGTCTCGATGGAGAGCGCGATCTGGGCGTACTTAGGTGGCACGACACGCAAGTATTTCGCGACCGCCTCCTCGTCGGTGATGGTGACGCCGTGCGCCGCCAGTTGACTGACGAGCGACTGCAGACGGAGCGAGAAATCCTCCACTGCCTCGCCGTCGCGGAACACCAGCGCCTCATACTCCCGCCGCAGCTGCTGCGCCTTCGCCTTCTTTGCGCGATCAGACCCGATGCGCATGGCCTTGAGGGCGTCCCAAGCAGCCTTTGCGGAGTCCTTTACGCCCAGCGACTCCACGTACTCGTGAGGCACAGCGGATAGAATCGCTTCCATCGCTGCACAGTCCTCTTCTTCATCCTCGGTGCCTTCTTCAATGGCCCGCCATAGCTTACGCGCACGCAACTTGACCTTCATCAGCACCGCCCACTCGCCATAGTTTGTGCGTGTGAGGACCGGCCAGTTGGCCCCGCCAACGTCCCGTACGGTCCTATGGATGATGACCTCCTGGCGCGGTGAAGCGTGTGCACCGCTCCCTTGCACCATCGACGCAGCATCTTGGCTTGCCATGGCTCTGATACCACTTGTTAGTCCCTGCTCGTCTTTATTTTCAGCTAGGATGCACTGTTCGTGTAAGCAAAAATGCTTCCCGACACAAACGGACACTTTTAGGATAGAAGAAGATATTGAACAACTCAAAGTATTGATTATTCAGTTTTTGCTGTGTTTACAAATACAAAACTACATCTCTATTTATAAGAACTAAAAACAACTACCTAGTGACTTTCCTAGAAATTACTTAAGCTGAAAAATCAGCCCATAATGGCTGCTATGAAGGTGCTTTGCAGCTGCAAGGAATTTGCATTGCTATTGCAATGAAGCTGCAAGGAAACAGCAGATTATATATTTCTTACACAATCTATGGTTGCCACCAAAAGGATAATCATGCTCTAAAGTCGTCATAAATATGCCTGCCTCAGGGAGCTTTGTCCGCTTCCTCTATCTAGGCTGATCCTTCCCTAACTAATCCCACATTTACTCATCTGAAAAACTACACAAAAACATATTTGGACAGTGAAAACTAGCACATGTTGGATCTAATTTAAGAGTATGGGGCATGGCACCACAAAAGAATTGATAATAAAAGGAATGGTTTTTCGTCCTGGTCGATATTTGGAGTCTGGTCTATGTCAGGATTTTTTGGGGCTTCCCTCTATGTTTCTTATCTTTGAATTGAATAAGAGAGATTAATAAATTAAGCTAAAAACTTGCCTTCTTCGTCAACCACCAGTTTTCTAATCTTCAGCTTTCTGTACTGGATGTTGTTTCCCAATGGGGGATGGAGTCCTTATTTAGATTCAAAATATATAATTGTGCACAGGAAACATGGAAGCCTCATAAATCACTCAATCTTCACTAGAAGACTGACAACCAGATTTAGGTACGTCCGTTATTTGAGCATCCATTGAAAAAAGAAATGAAGAAGAAGAAGAAGGAGCAACTGAGAAATCGACAGCACATAAGCCTTCCTTCGGATTTCAGAGTGATTACTTACACACTTCAGAAGCTATGAACACAGTCTAGATAAGCAAGCTCATACTAATCCATTTTTCTTCCATATTAGCAAATTTAGCAATAGTCCGACAATTGGTGCATGCACTTTTTCTACTGGAACCAGATAAGGGAATGAGTGAATCACTAAAGTAAATTTAATGTACAGATTAAGTACAGTGGTCTAACCATGAAGAGCCTCGTCGAGGCTTCCTCCCGGTAAAAAATCATATATCAACAACTTAGATGTCGGGGAATTGCAGTATCCACGAAGATTCACCAGGTATCTATGTTTGATGCTCCCAAGAATTTCAAGTTCTCTCTCGAAAAAGCGATCAAAGCCTTCATTGAGCTTCATAATCCTTTTCAAGGCAAATAAATTGCCATCGTCCATCACAAGCTTGTAGACAGTTCCAAAGCCTCCGGCACCAATAACATGCTCTTCGTTTAAACTCTCCATTTTTTTTATGATGTCTTTCGAAGAGTATGGAAGGTCTCCATGGAACATTACAATTGAGGCACCTAAAGCAGTATCAGAAGATAAATTTTGGTTAATTAAAATGAAAGCAGAAAACGTGATTGGTCCTGCATGGGTTACTGGAGTTATACCTCCAACATCCACGGCGAGTCCTTTGCCATCATTCTTACCAAGCCTTTTATACAGGAAACAGCCCCAGAAACACATAAGAGCTATAAGAAGCAATGCGCCCACAGTGGCCAGTGCACTAATCAGAAGCCTACCGGAATTTTTCTTTTTGGATTGGGATTGGGCTAGAAACATAAAATAAACAAATTAGAAATAAGATAAATGAATAAAGAAAGAGAAATGAAAAACGAAGGACATAGGCCAGTTCACTTCTATATTTCCTTCTGATTGACATTATATCTACAGGAACAGAAACAGAACAGCAAATGAAAATATGGACCAGAAATGGAACAACAAAAAGAGAGAAGATGGGAGCATATAAGAAAAATGCACTTGGCATTCACAAGGTGATACAGGACCCATCCAATATTCTACTATGACGAAGGAAATCAAATCCCTCATCAACCCTTATAGGGGTTGAAGAGGTATTCTTTTAGTAGACATTGCAGTCATTTAACTATGAAATTATCCATTGATCAGTGAAAATTGCTTCCACAAACATATACACAGTACAGATGGTTCTGTCCCAGCAAAAGAAGGGGAGGAATAGCTGCTTCATCCTTTCTTTGCTTGCTCAGAAAGGTAATCTTTAAACACCATCAGTGAAATTGTCAATATAAAACCTTTGCCACTGGCCGAGTAGAATACGAATAAGCAATATCCCCTCCAAGCAAATCATTGTACCTGAATCTGTAGGCGGGGAAGAACCACCACCCTTGTTCTTGCATATTTGTAGTTGTTTGCCACATAAATCCCGGTTTCCAACAAAACTGCTCAGAGAAGCATCAAAATGCAAAGCAGAAATTAAAGTACAACAAAGAAAAAAAAACAAGCGTAGAACGCAACAACGTAGCAAGAAACAAAACCAAGTGAAATATCATGTAGGGATAGATGGATTCCTCTCATTTGGCTAATACGGAAGTTACAGAAGTGGCTTTCGCATTAATTTTTGTGATCCTACATTTCAATAGTAGTCTTGTTGTCATCAACAATGTATATAAAGTAACTAAGACTTCACTAGGTCCAATATAAAGCAAATTTTAATTAGCCAAAATGTACAATGAAAATTTCTCAGTGCCTTAAGAAAAGAACAAACTCAATGGATGAAAATAATAGTAGGAATGCAAGTGTACCATACCCATAAATGGGATAAAGGATATGCAGTCTACTTAAAACACACACAAAAATTATCACTTACGAATCCTTCTGGAAGTTTGCTAGAACACCATCTGAAGATATAGGTCCCACCAAAAAATTTGTTGAAACATTGCTTTGGAAATCAAAGAGACAATGAATTAGGCCAATGAAGACAACAAAGGACTAAGGTAAGTCAAAAAATAACATGTACTCACAATTTCACAAGCTTGCTTAACTTCCCAAGGGATGCAGGAATGCTACCACTCAGAGAGTTGCTTGACAAATCCCTGCAAAGAGGCGCATATGAACATGTTACTTTACAAGGTGTCTTGCACCCAAAATATGCATTACATTATGTAGCAGCGAGATCATAGCTTATAAACTGAGAAAAGATAATTCCACAAAGAGCATTGAGCTAAAGGGCTATCAAGCCCATTCAGTAGATCATGAGAGCTTTGTTGTCTTCATCATGAAACAATGCATTAACAAAGTGAATCACAAACACGATTTTAATATTCTGATTTTTAAGCAATTGTTGTAGTATGTGTGAGAAAGTTCCTCGTCAGAGCTTTGTAATCATTTCAGAAAGCAATTCTTGTCTCATAACTCCAATACTAGAGAGGAGAAAAGCCAACAATGTAAGCATACAAAACATTAATAATTCAGTAATTTCAGCGAGGAACTTACAAATTTTCAAGCTGAGATAGGTTCCCGAGTTCACTTGCAATCGACCCACTTAAGTAGTTACCCTGTAAAAATCTGCAGAAATAGGAATAGAGTAATCTGCACGTGATTCAAGCAAAATGAAGGCTGAATGACTGAAACTGATTGAAGACAATGATGTAATTTGAAAAATTAAGGTGATATCTTGATCTTTTCTGATCTGCTATGCTTATTGAATTATCGAGAAAGCAAGACAAATTGCTGAGCAAGATAATCTGCCAAAGATCAGAAACTTGAAACAAATTAAAGAATAGCGATGTCAAAGGAAATTGTAAAGAGATGTGACACCAACAACGAAGTGCCATTTGTGTATTATATCTATGACAACTTTCTTTCTTTCACCCTACAAAGGAACTATGGCAGCGAACAATACCATTACCAAGAACTTTATGCATGGTACAACACATATGGGTAATGGGCCATGCTAAAGTAGCAATTTTTTGAGAATCTCATAATATAAACTTACATTGACTGCAACTGTGTGCAGTTCCCCAGTTCTGGAGGGATTGGTCCATATAAATTGTTGTCATGCAGAGCACTACAGGCAAGTGGTTCAGGTCATCATTAGTAGGAAGTGTAGTTAAGTTATGAAAGAACAAAAGCAAAAGATGCATACAGGAACTGCAAACTTTCTAGTTTCCCAATATCTGGCGATAGCTGTCCAGTTAACTTGTGATTAGGGAGGCTCCTGCACCATTTCATATATCATAACATATAGGATTAAGATATGCACAGAACTCAAGTATCCATATAGCTGCTCTACACATTGGTAAATGTAAAATGTGAAGATAGCATACAGTTTACTTCAAAAACTAAAATAATAAGAATTCTGATAAATGGCAAGTGACATTTTTATGGCACAAAACAAAATAGAAGCGAAATTGAGCACACCTCAAAATGCAAAAGAAATTGAGGAGAAATTTTGTCCAGTTCTGGAAGAAAATGATAGTAAAAAACAATAACTGAAAGTGTGTTTGTCATTGATATAACTTAACTAAAGAAATAACAAACTCTCATACTTAGTGCCATGTCGAGTAATGTGATATTTAGAACTGCATTTCACTGGATGAATAAAGCCTTGGTTTAATTACGAGAGGTACAAGTATTAATAAAGAAGAGGATACTAAACAAACAACCAATTATAATTTATTATAATAATATCTAGTTAAATAAGTGAAGAATCTACTATCTAGTATAGTTCTGTAATCTCAATACCTATATCATATACCAGGGTCGAGGATATAAATTGCCCTGGATCACCAGATGCATCATTTCTTGTATCAGGAATCTTACGTGAACAGATTAACAAGTTACTAATCTAAACAAGGATGTATGGTTATGGTGCCCCTAAAAACAAAATTTATCTTTCTAGTGAATAGATAAGGATGGCAAAAATATCTCAAGCGAAGAACACAAAAATACTGGCCTACCCAAAGTTCAACATCAAGCAACAACAGAATATATATATATATGTATGTATGTATATATATATACATATATATATACATATATATATGAATTAATTACAACATCCTGAAGTATCAAGAAACATACAATGTTGTAACTCTTCTAGATTTCGAGTCACACGTTATTCCTCGCCACCTACAAGGGTCCTCATCCTCTAGTCTCCACTGCTCCAAAATACCATCTGAACTAGTTATGCCTGTCCTAAAGTTGGCAAGAGCTTGACCTGTAAATCATATGATGAAGGGTCATAATTCCTACTTCATACTTAATAGTAATGTTTCCACAAAATGTGCCCATCAGAACTCGGGCAGTGCCATGTCAAATGATTTTGCACTCATTAATATAGCGTGAGTGCAGTCCTATGACCTTCTCTCACCTCAATGTTAAACACATAGTTCAAGAGGATTAGTTACCAAAAAATAAATAAAAAAAATTATGGATGTCATAAGGTTAGATACTTGGAAAGAAGCACTTAAAAAACAGAGAAAGCAAAGCATTCTTTAATTTATATCTGTAATATATAGTATGTCTAGTCTCAACATATTTAATCATACTCAACTAAGTTAGGCAGCATACCATCTGGACTGAGAGATTCAATTTCTTTAGCCAGAATATACAGCGACAAGATGCATAGAAGCAACTGACGGAAAGTTGCAGGGAAACTGCCCATATTGGTGCAGGTTACACATAATAATTTTAGTGAAAATTGTCGAAGTTGTAGAGCGGGGTCATTCCGCAGCACATCCAGCAACTAAGGTGACGATGCCCAGCAGCCACCGTACGAAATTAACCACTCTCCTGTCAGACCAAGTTAATACTGTCAGTTCATAAAATAATGAAAAAAAAAAATGGTTCATGCATTTCATACTTATTTGTTTTCTTTATTTTCGAGCACATGGAGGAATTTCAATTATAATGCAGCAAGCAGATACCCGTGTAAGAAAAGACTTGTAATCTATGCAGCACATTTTGTGAGCAGTGGTGCGATACAATTAAAAGATGTTGTAAACAACGTTAAGTTACACACTGGGTCAAAGAGCTGGTTTAGCAGTCATCCTGATAACTGATAAGTGTTCCTACCCTACCCATACTGATCAAAATTGAAAGCAGTACATAATTTACCAAATTGATCAAATCTCGGGTGTAGCAGCTCCAGTCAGAGAGCATTACTATGTAATTGCTTATTTCTATCTTAAACCATGATAAATCAAGGGTGTGATTGGTAGAATAAACTGGAAAGGCTCACTGACGCCCGATAAGTTGATGAGTTAATTGATAGTTGATATGTTAGTTCCAAACTGATAGTTGATATGGTAGATCCAAACATATAGTTGATAACTAAAAAGCTAATTGATTAATATATAACTATTTAGTAAATGAGTTGATAAGTTATCATCTGAAGGAACAAAAGGCACAATGGCCTTAGAACTCTTCCAGATAAGCTCCAGCTTTCTGTAGGTCACTCGACCAAACGAGACTTATACGAATACAATATGCTTATAATCTCTCGATAAATAAGCTATAACTCAACCTTTTATGCTAACCAAAGTACCAAACACACCGTAGAGTGCTTATGCAGTTAAAATGATAACAGCTTAGGGAACCATACAATGATATCAGACTTCGAGTATGAGAGCACCAAGTCTGCATATTGCCTGGTACCAATATTTCCGTAACACATTTGCTTCAATATCAAGTGGCTAAAATCAGAATACAACGAGCATAAATTAGCAATATCTCTGGTAAGTTAACTTGCAGATTTCACCACACACAATGCACTACACGTTTTGTCTCCTTCAGATACCAATGATAATTGATCTTACAACTTGAAATTCACACAAGAGGAACTAGCTACGGGCATATAGTTACAATACAGACCATCATTCAATTGCTCATGCCTAGATCGTGGGATCATAACCTCAACCTTAACAGTTCAATAGTTGACCTACATGAGCACAATTATGCCACCATCACTCTGTTTCCTCAATCAAGCTAAATCGAAGCACAACCTAAAGAAGCACAAAGTACAAGCACCTTACGCATCAAATTTCTTCTCCCCAAACACAAAGGCCTAATCTACATAACCCAGGCTGTTTCCGTCGAGTAAAACTAAATTTCACACTCTACACAGTTCATGACCAAACCAACTCGTACCAATCCAATTTTCTTCTCCAAAACACGGCTATTTACAGTGATTTTGAAACTCTATTTCACAATTTACACTTCATGACCACACAAATTCATATCAATCCAGTTTTCATCCAAAATCCACCAACAAGATGAACAAATTTACCTGGAGCTGGCAGTATAGGCAGCAGATTTGATTTACAAAATCTCAGATTTAAGATTGAACGATTGAGAATGGCCTTTTGCAGCTGCCATCAGTGAGATTGTACCACGCGGAAGAAAAGTTGAAGGCCGATTTTCTCTCTCTAGAATTTGTGCAGTACAGTACAGAGTGTTGGATTTGGACAGGAGAGAGAGAGAGAGAGAGAGAGAGAATGACTGTGAGTGCCGAAAGGGGCAATGAGTAGAAGCCAATGGGAATGGAGGTATAGTGGCACGTGCTGCGTCGAAACCTCGCACGCGCGCCATATGATAGTGGGAATTTTCAACTCCAAAATTCTACTCTAAATGGAATTAATAAACAACATGTTCGCATTTTTGCATTACAATGTAGACAAAAAAAAAAATGGCATTTTAACTTGGATCAAAATAATTGTTACCAGTTAAGGTACAATAAAAGTTAGGGTAAACTCCACTTTTGGTCCTCCATGTTTAGGGGTATCCAGACTGAGTCCCTATTATGTTTTAGTACCCAATTTTAGTCCTTAAAACAAAAAAAATGAGTCCCTATTATGTTTTGGTGCCCAATTTTAGTCCATAAAACAAAAAAATGAATCCCTATTATGTTTTGGTGCCCAATTTTAGTCCAAAAAAAAAATGTAGTCCCTTTACCTCAATTTCTGTGAATTAACGGTCCATTTTTGCTCGACTGTGATGTTCTTTATTTTTTTTAAATTTGTTGATTAATGTCAACTTTGACCAAAGAAAAATAAAAGAAAATTTAAATGCTGAAAATATATTAATAAAAAATTAAACTAAAACAAGAAATTGCACTAAATTAAATTAAAATTTTTGCTCGTCTGATTTCTATTTCCCTAGCATTCGCGCTACGGAGCAAGCCTGGAATCACAGCTAATGCTCTTGCACCCATTTCCGGGTCATGCCATCGAAAAAAATTGCACCTATCAACCCTCTGTTTTTTAACCATTTCTTATCATATTCCAATTGAAGTTCACGGAAAGTACTTACAGGATATAGAGGGCAACTCAAGAATCTTTTCCTGAGATTATCATCCTTCCACCATGTAGTCAACTTTGCAACCAGCTCACATCTACAAAATACCACACCATTTCCATCCATTTGATCGGATTTAGTCCCTAAGCGGTTAGGTTTTTTTTTTTTACGTTTCACTGCAGTTCACTATTTCTGCCTTTTATTTTACTTTTTCAGCATTTAAATTTTCTTTTATTTTTCTTTGATCAAAGTTGACATTAGTCAACAAATTTTAAAAAAATAAAGAACATAACGGTCGAGCAAAAATGGACCGTTAACTCACATAAATTGAGGTAAAGAGACTACATTTTTTTGTTTTAAGGACTAAAATTGAGCATCAAAACATAATAGGGATTAAATTTGGATACCCCTAAACATGGAGGACCAAAAGTGGATTTTTTCCAATTATAGGGACTACATTTTTTTGTTTTAAGGACTAAAATTGGGCACCAAAACATAATAGGGACTCAGTCTGGATACCCCCTAAACATGGAGGACCAAAAGTAGACCTTCCCCTAAAAGTTAATAGAAGAAAATGTTTTTCTATTGTAAATTTCGAAAGAAAAAATGCATAAAAACATAATAATGAATTAAAATAGTTTGTAATATCATTTCAAAAATCTAAAATTGTATTTTGATAGCTAATTATCATCGATTTATCTTCATCTCTATAAAATATGAAATATTTGTATATTAGTTAATTTATGTTTTTAAGAAAATTGTTAATGTGGTTATTGAGTTTATTATTCACAATCAATGGTTGGATTTTATTATTTTGGATATGAACGTTTAATTGTTGGATTTATTATTTGTATAATCCCTGCGGGTGACGAATATTGACAATTAAGTTTTTAGAGTAGATTGAATTCATCCTATATCGTCAATTATTGCATTAAGCCATTTGTATAGTCAATGAAAAGAGTAGCATAAAAGTATCATAATAAAAGGTACTGGTTTAATCATTTGATTGGCTCAAATACCACATAACTGAAACAAAAAAAAAAAAAAAAAAAAAAATTACCACATAACGGTAATTGTTTAACTTTAACCATTTCAATAATTGTAGTATGAGTATGATTAGCCAAACGGCCCAAACCAGTTGTAGTATGAATAACTGAATATGATAGCCTCCCTAAGGCCAACTCATAAACTTACTTTTCAACTAATACACAAAATTTTTCAATTTAAAATATCATATTTGAAAAAATAATATGAACAAAAAATGACAGAAGTACGACTGACGACCGGCTAATTAACAATTAGACTGCCTTATAGAATTTATGTTGTAGTATAATACCATGTTTTATGACAGGTGTTAATTAAGAAATTACTACATAATGTATTTTTAAACTGCAAACAATAAACCACAGCCTAACCCAATTGCACAAGAACAATATAACTTACCTGCCAATTACAGATGTTATTCTAAAAAAGGAAATCACCAGTCTTTTTCCTAAGAATTGTAGTTCTAATTACAACATACACATAAATCTTTTCATTCATTTTCCCCCACCAAACCTTACAAATTCTGTATACCATTTCCCCAGTTCACAAATTCCTTTAAAATCTATGTATGCATACAGTTAAGTCACAAACACGACCGCATAACAGAATCAAAATGAAAATGTTCGAGACCGAATTACAACAAAACTCATTCTAAGCAAAGCCAAAACTCACAAATTATCCCCACGAACGAGTTTGTTCAGAAGCATCGTGAAAAGCTCGTCCCTTTTCTCTGCCCGACTCTCCTCCTTCAACCTCCGTTGTTCCTCTCTCTCTCTAAAGGCCCTCTCCATCATAAGCTTCTCTCTCTCTAGACCTTCCATCTTTTTTCGCCACTCGTCCTCCAAAAGCTCCCGTTCCTTAGCGTATTTTTCCATGGACTCCATCCACTGTATGTCCATCCTCTGCTGGCTCACGATGAAAGTCCTCATCATCTCGTGAAGGCTGTGGAGAGCGTTTTTATGAGATGGTGTTGGGCGATTTTCGTTTTCTGCTGTTTTTTGTCTCTTCACCCTGACGAGTTTTTGTTTCGGAGGTATTCTTGTTCTGGGGGAATGTTCGGGTTCGGTTTCTTGTTCGATGTCCAGTTCTTGCGAGAATTCTTCACGGGATTGGTTTTCGGGAGGGTTCGCAGTGGGGTGAGGTGGCTGCGTAAGATTGGACCTTGCTGTGAAGATTGCATGCAGCTCGTCCAAGAATGGGCAGTGCCGAATATTATTATCAGCAGCCAATGTTTTGTGCTCCTGTATGTTTAGAAAACAAAACTGAAATTAAAAATAAAATAAAATAAAATGCTCAAATTCATATATTGAGACATAGCCAGAAAAGATCTGTCTTTTCAATTTAATATTTTGTGAACAAATATGCAATACGTTCAAACTGAAATATTTAATATCGTAT